GATCCCCTCAACACCTTGGCTGTGCCTAGAAATTCTGCCCATAAAAGTTATGAACAGAATCAGTGACAAAGGGTGGAGTCCAACTCTCACCGGGAACAAGCCCGATTTACTGCCGGCAATGCAAACCAAGCTCTGACACCGGTTATACAGGGACCGAACAACTCATATAAAAGGGCCTGGTACCTCATACTCCTGGAGTACCCCTCCCCCCCCACAAGGTTACCCAAGAAACACAGTTGAACACCTTCTCCAAGTCCGCAAAGCACATGTAGACTGGTTGGGCAAACTCCCACACATCCTCAAGAACCCTGCTGAGGGTGTAGAGCTGGTCCAGTGTTCCACAACCAGGATGAAAACCGCACTGTTCCTCCTGAATCCGAGATTTGACTATCCGATGGACCCTGCATTCCAGATCCCCTGAATAGACCTTACCAGGGAGGCTAAAGAGTGTGTTCCCCCTGTAGTTGGAACACACTTTACAGTCCCCCTTTTTGAATAGGGGGACCACCACCACCTGTCTGCCAATCCAGGGGAACTGCCCCCGATGTCCATGCAATATTGCAGAGTTGTGTAAGCAAACACAACCCCACAACATCCAAAGCGTTAAGGAACTCCAGGCGAATCTCATCCACCCCCGGAGCTCTGCCACCAAAGAACTTTTTAACCACCTCAGTGACCTCAGCACCAGAGATTGGAGAGCCTGGTCCAAAGTCCCCATGCTCCACTTCCTCAGTGGAAGACATGCTGGTGGAACTGAGGAGGTCTTCAAAGTACTCTGCCCACCGACCCACTTCCACTAAACAGTGATGGTTGTGTATCCCCACCCCAAGACACCAGATAGTGGACCAGAGTCACCTCAAAGCCATATGGAAGTAATTCTCCATGGCCTCTCCGAACTCCTCCCACGCCTGAGTTTTTGCCTCAGCGATCACCCAAGCCACATGCTGCTTGGATTGTCGGTCCCCACTAGCTGCTTCTGGGGTCCCACAGGCCAAAAAGGCCCGATAGGACTCCTTCTTCAGCCTTACAGCATCCCTCACCACCAGTATCCACTACTGGGTTCGAGGGTTGCCGCTGCTACAGGCACCAACATCCTTGTGGCCACAGCTCTGATAAGCCAACTCGACAATGAAGGCATGGAACATGGCCAACTCAGAATCAATGTCCCCCACGTCCCCTGGAATGTGTTTTGAAGTTCTCTGGGAGGTGGGAGTTAAAGCTCTGTCTCACGGGAGATTCTGCCAACCCTCATGATACGTTTGGGCCTGCCAGGTCTGAGGGGCATCCTCCCCCACCATCAGAGCCAACTCACCACCAGAAAGTGGTCAGTAGACAGCTCCGCCTCTCTCTTAACTCGAGTGTCCAAGACATGCGGCTGCAGATCAGATGAGACGACAACAAAGTTGATCATTGAACTGCGGCCTAGGGTGTCCTGGTGCCAAGAACACATATGGACACCCTTATGCTTGAACATGGTGTTCATTATGGACAATCCATGACGAGCAAAGAAATCCAATAATAGAACACAGCTCAGGTTCAGATTGGGGGGGGCCGTTCTTCCTAACCAGACCCTCCAGGTCTCACTGTCATTGCCCACATGAGCGTTGAAGTCCCTCCCAGCAGAACAAGGGAGTCCCCAGGAGGGGCACTTTCCAGTACCCCCTCCAAGGACTCCAAAAAGGGTGGGTAATCTGAACTGCTGTTTGGCGCATAAGCACAAAGAACTGTCAGAACCCGTCCTCTCACACGTAGGCAGAGGGAGGCTACCCTCTCATTCACTGGAGTGAACCCCAACATACAGGCACCAAGATGGTGGGCAACAAGTATGCCCACTCCTGATTGGGACCTCTCACCAGGGGCAACTCCAGACCCTCTCAAGGAAACTGGTTCCAGAGCCAGAGCCATGCATTGAGGTGAGTCCGACTATTTCTAGCCAGTACCTCTCAACCTCTAACACCAGCTCAGACTCCTTCCCCACCAGAGAGGTGACACTCCACATCTCAAGAGCCAGCTTCTGTAGCCGAGAATCAGACCACCAAGGTCCTTTCCCTTGGCCACCACCCATCCCACATTGCACCCAACCCCTTTGGCCCCTCCCACAGGTGGTGAGCACATGGAAATGAGGACCCATGTTTCCTCTTCGGGCTGTGCCTTTTATTTTTTCACCCTTTTTAAAAAGTATTTGCAATCAGTAATGTATTAATATAATGTCTACAATTCCTTGAAGGAATACTTATCGACAGAGTTTTAAATTAAATTGGTCTTGCAATGAGAAATGACTAAATGATAGTATTTTTGATCAAACCCGGTAAATACCCTGTGATGTCATGTAATATCACATGAAAATCACATGATCTGTTGGTGCTTAAAGTAGGGGTTGTGAATGATTTTCAGCTACTGCCACACTAAATTTGAGTCCAACATCTGTAAAGCTGACTGAGCTACAGCCATTTGTGTGATGGCTAATGTGGGTCAGCTGTTGCAGCCATCTTAAGTTGTGTTGACTTCAAAAGTTTATTAGTTTCACATGTACACCCAATGATTACTTTATAAAAGTTTCATTAAGACCAGTCAAATGGTTCATGAGATATTTTGCTAACAGACAGACAGCGTTGACCCTGGCTCAGTTTCTGTAAAACATACTTGGTTCTACCTATTTTAGTGTTTCCTAAAATGTGTTGGCTGCGGTGGCCATTTTGGATCAGATTTACTCTGAAAGTCAATCAGTTGTAGAAGTATATTTATGGATAACTATCTAAAAGTTTCATTAAAGTTTGTTCAGCGGTTCGAGAGCTACACACACTCACACAGATACAGGCGAGAAGATCCCCCAGGAGAAAATACAATAATCCCAAAATGATGCAATCGATTTCTAAAACTGGTTTAGTTAGGATAAAATCAATGACAAAAATCTGTGGTAATCTGTACCTTATCAACTGATTAATACTGATCACTGTATTATATTAAATTTCAATTTGCTAAATAACTCACTGACTACAAAACAGTTACACAATACGTATTTATTATTATTTATTTATTTACAAAAATCTGCACGAGCCTAATGTTCTTGATTTTATGTACATGGGTGCGGATGTGTTATAAAATAACCTCCAGCTTCCCTCACTTTCTGTTTATTTACTCAGCTGATCATGTTGAGCAGTCTCTGATTAAAGCACAGCCATGTTCACACTGCTTTATTACATTTAATTAGATAACAGGCTGCCAGCAGTTACAGAGGAGACAACAACATCCACTTGGGTATTTAGGCCTCTTCCCAACTGTGATCAAACAGGACTTCTTACCTCTGTTTTTCACAAAGTCCTTGCTAATTAAATTCCCACAATTTAATAGACTATGATTGCATGAACAGTATGGCTTCTATCAGCAAGCTTACTCTAAATAAATGATATAGAAGGATTGATTTGGGCTTTTGAATGCAAGGGAGCGTAACAATCCCCCTGCCGACTGCAAGTTGCCCAAAGTCCCTTCAGTATCGACTGCTGATGCACTGCAGTCATGAGTGTTGCTGCAACTTAAATAGAGATGGCTTCCTCAGCTCGCAGCATCAATCAATGAGATCTGTCAAGTCATTAGTCCTTCCAGGCCCACTTTGACCCTCAGCCGTCCTTGTTTTTCTGACTTCCTGTGTGACAAATAGCAGAATGACACACAATGGAAGTAAGAGGCAGAGATTGATGAGATGTAAAGAAGAAGAATGAAGTTTAATCATTACTTTGATATTACTTGGGACTAGCGTTAGATAGTTTTTGTACCTGTACCACGAGCATTGAAAGCTGTTCCCCAGTCATTATGTATGTGCTGTTGATGTGTGTTTGTGAGAGGGGGTTGATAGGAATCAGAGATGTTTCCTGACAGCACTTGGTTCTGTTAATAATGCATGTCTTGTCACTGAGGAGCAGATGTGGGGTTAGATTGCTGTATTGGGGTATTGATTAGCAGCAGTGTCTGCCCCACTTTACATGTGGGCTTATATGGCAAAAATTACCATCACATTCAGAAAAATAAAACTTGTTCCAAATGCTGAATTTAAAATAAATAAAACATCTTATATTTGGATTAAGAACATATTAAACTTAACTCAAACCCAGAGGGATGAGATTTAATGAGGTCATAAAGCAAAGGGTCACATGACTAAAGGTCACGGGGTCATTTGGCAGCGACTCAGGGTCATTCTTCCATTAATCATGTAAAGAATGTGTTAACCTTAAAGTTTAAAACATATTTGCGGCCATACATTTTTATTTGACTTGATTTTAAGATATTAGTCTCTGGAGGTTTTCAGAATATTTGTTTATTAGCTGCAAAATCTTCATATATATATTTTACAAAAATACATTTAAACATGCCAAAATCAAAGTCTAATCAAATGCCTGGCATTCCTTAGATGACTGTTTGTTGCCCGCAACCTTTCCTGTCAGAGTTTTGAACTGAGAATTTTTTATTTTGAGAAATGATGGCATTTGAGACAACTTGGTCCAACTTTAGAAAATATTGTTATGTGTTATCACATGTGATCTAGACTGTTGAAGTATCTGCTGCAAATGATTACAACCACATCAAGTTTTAAGTCGATTTTGGTAAACTGACATGGGCATAACATTATTTCACTTTTCTTTTTGGCTGTGGGCAATAATTGAAAGATCTTATGAGATACTTTGCATTTGTAAATGACAAAACCAACAACAATAGAAAAAAATACATGCACTTTTCCAATTTGCTATGGAAGCTCCTGCTCTTAATATAGTAAATATGAAGATTATTTGGGGCTGACAACATTTCATTAATGAAGTAAACTTGGATGAACCATGCTCAATAGCACAAATTTATGAAACAAAAAATGTTAAGCTTTGTGAAATTAAGATCCCTGCATGTTGAAACTCCTGCCTGGTGACATGGCCTTGTGTTCTTGTAAAGAATAAATGCACCATACGTAAAAATATAGACCACTCATAGAGGTTAATGCATTTCTTCTCTTCCAGGACAGCGACCTGCTGACGTTTAACATATCGGCTCATCACTCTTGGTGGAGTGAACACGGTCCCGGCTGTGTGAGGAGAGAGATGCCCCAGACCCCCGGAGTGCACGCCACAGAGAGCCACTCCTACATCACCGTCATGGGCTGTTTCATGGACTACCAGTACATTGAGGTCATGCACAGCAGCACGCAGATCCTCGTTGCTGTGAGTACAAGCTAACAATGAACAGCACTGACATGTTCACATGAAGAGACTGCTCTAAAAGCAGGCTACATAATGTGAGACCTCACTCCTTTAACAGTCAGTGGGATTCATGTAGAGAAAGTGAACACGATTGAAAAGAAGATTCTTTTTTTAAGGTATGGTTCTACAGCTCTCTGGTATTTAGACTGTCCCAGGCTTCCTTCCTTGGCTCTGGATCCTGAGTGAAAAAATGAACTGTTTTGTCTAGTTTGTGATCTGAGCTGCCAGCTACTAACAAGTTCATCAAACACTGGAAATTCTATTGTTCTTATACAGCCTATAATCAATGCACTAGAGGCTCACTTCCTGCCGACGTCTGTTTGCACAAACCCACATTTGACCTGCTAACCTCTTCCTCATTGATTACAGCGGTATATAAATAGACAGATATATATATATATA